GGTCGTGAGGAGGCTTCTGGGGTGGTTCGATCTCCCCACGGTTATCGTGAGGAGGCTTGTCATGGGGTGGCTGCTGAGGCGGTGTGTCCTCTCCACGCTTGTTGGTCTTGTTCGGATGGTTACGGACTGCAAGGTTCCCTTCAGCGGGTGCCGTAGGGATAACAGCTGCAGACACAGAGGTTGCGAGGAGCGGGAAAGCGAGAATAGTAGAGAACTTCATAGTGCTGATGAATGGAATGAAGAGACTGTGTAGTCGAAGGGTTGGAGTTGAATGGATTGAGTTTGGGGTATTGGAGTAATGAGCTGAGTTGAGCTGTGGTGGTGGACTGGATAGGGTTGCTGAGGAACAGCATCTTATACCATCTGGTATGCACAGACCGGTTGAGATGAATGTTCAAGTGCGTGTCTTCTGGAACGTGCTGTTAGTGATCTTCATTCTTGATGGAATCGTACACGCGGAAGACATCTGGAGACTAGGTCTGAAATAGTAGTGGTTGCGAATATTCAATACCATGTCCTGATATTCTTGGTGTCTAATATCTAAGCCACGGTGGTTCACTATTCGTCAACTCGAGTTTTATTTCAAACTATTAACAGTCTCTTAATATTTGATTGCGTAGCATAGGTAACATGAAGTCAAATGTATTATTGATTTTACTGCCATGGAAGGCTGTTTCACTGATTTGGGTCTGAAATGAAGCACACCAAAATATCTGACAGCACCGGTACCTAAAGTTGGAAAAAACAGTGAAGTCTATGTCATATTCACTATCAATGATATCATATCACGAGGGCATCGAAATTGTGAGAGAGGAGCACCTCTACCTTTCCTCCATTTCGTTTGATCAGCAAAAACAGGATCGAATGGACTAGGAATGAGTGACATAGGGCAGACTTGAAGGATGTAAAGGTGCCACCCCTGCACCATATTGTAGCATCTACATTTCCTTTTAGGGATATGAGAGGATTGCAGGTCCACGAAAGACCAATCGAAGAGTCGACTTAAGTTCCCTTATGAACGCATGGATTTGTTCTTATTTTGTACTTTGTCTTGGGAAGTGAATTTAAGGTTAGTCCAGCGCATATCTTCTTATAGCTTAGCAAGCAGCCACGTAATGCTAGCGCTCCATATATTTACCGTTTTGGGTAATTATTATGTGCATCTGCAAGCACCATTGTACTATTCAGCCCACATCCGATGCCTCATCTTATCCGTCCCCGTCCGTTGTCGATGAGGAATAGATCCAACAAGGATCTCTCACTCGTGCACAAAGACCTTTGCTACCCCACAAGCCTCATAAACACTTGGGCCATTTATCTCAGTCCTCACCAACATTCGGAGTTCCCAATATTTGCTCCACAGGCCTCGTCAACACTCGGGCTATGTATGTACAGCCCCTCAAAACTACATCTAAAGTGCGTATTCAAAGGCCACATAAATTCAGCTTTGACGTCGCAGTTCGGTATGGATTTGCATTGGGACCCGATAAACATTGCGTTACTTGATCGATACAGCTGTAGATTGGTTGCACCACTCTGCAGTTCCACGTCATTACGATAACTTGAGTGTAGTTCTCAGAAATCCATGCAGAAAACTACATGGATGTATACTCATACTAATGACGTAGTACCGCAGGATATGGGAAACATGCAGACCACATTTTGACATACAAATTATTCAAAAATAAACGAGACTGATCACAGAGAGGTATGGCGTTCTCCAAAACATGGATGTATTGGGCTCTGCTCAATCCTGTATGCTTTACCAACGCAACACCGTGGCAATGTCGAACTGGCGACTTCGACCTCTACGAACTGTGCTCCCAGCGATTCAGTGAGCATAGCGACCTAAATAAATCCTCGATCATCGGTGAAGGAGTGGAAGGCCATATCTTCCTCTCCACCAGCAATCAAGCACTTTTTTCCGAACACACAATATCGCCGCGGCGCGAATACTGGATCGGACACACTCTCTCGCACCCCAAAACTGCCAAATGATATTCTTTCTCACCCTACAAAGATCATGATGATGAGGAGTTTTGGTAGAAGTAAATGCAACTGGAATATGTCGATTTGCCACTATTCGATCTTCTGAACTACAACGTTTGGGTCGAACGACCGTGGAGTTGAGATGTGACGAAGTGTCTTCTGAACCAATTTGTTGGAGCTGTTGCACATAGTTGCACATATGCATGAGCATGGTATAGTGCATTGTGATCTGAAAGTCGAAAATATCATGGTTGCCAGAGACGGCACTGTCAAGTTGATTGATTTCGGAAGCGCGGCGGTCTCTCGAGGCTTGCTCACTGGTCAACGCATGAGATATATGGAGAATTAGATTGGCACGCTTATCACCTTGACGCCTAAAGTTGATGGAGCGAAGTTCTGTTATATAGAGAAGGTGGATGTGTGGTCGCTTGCTGTTATTGTATTGAGAGTATTGATGGGGGTATACGTGTGAGCCAGAGGGTGTAGTTGGCGGATTAGCTGGTAATGATGAGTTTGGGGTTTTTTTTAGACAGGGAGAATCTTTTGCCGTGCAATGTCGAAGAGGAAGAAGTTAGGTGACTTTGACAGGTGCCAGGCGATGTGAGGGATATGCTCGCTGGTATGCTGGAGCCTGATTCTGATAAACGGATTGAGTTGCAAACAATATTGAAGGCTAGATAGATAGCTTTCAATTTAGAAGACTCTTTCAAAATAATCAAGAGAACAAGAAAGCTTGCATGGTGAGAAGTCAGTGACAAACAGCGGTCATGTAGTTCTCAATCAAGTTTAGCGCACAACAACCCACCAATCGTTGGACGCTTCCCAGGGGCCAGCTGCCATACCGTCTCCTCCCCTGCGCGGACTGCTAGCGCCAACATTCTCAGTTTCCTTAAGAAGAGCACTAATAGATACGTGCCAGGCCTGAGGCGAAGTTGGCGCTAGCAGCCCGCGTAGGGGAGGAGACGGTATGCATTCTCAACGTCACCGACACCTCATCAGAAGACCACAAGCAAAGGTGATATTGCAGCCAGCAATCGAGTAGCAATATAATCCCTCGGGGTCATTAACAATGTTGCCTTTCTTACACGACGCGAGGTTCGGCCCGCGTAAAGCTTCCGGTATTTCGATGACGTGAAACATCTCGCGTCGCCTTGAGTTTCAAGCCCGCGGTGATCAGACAAATTCCCCAGGCACTTCATAACGTCGATGCCTCGCTCTTCCATGTTCTCTTTTCAGCGTTGACTCGTTGATCATATCCTTCTTTTTGCTGCACCTGGCGTGCCCTTTTGTTTTTGTGCATATCCTTCCTTAATCAGCCATGTCGCAAGCATACAAACAGGTGCCTCTCGATGAGGGTCGCGATGACTCAAGCGAAGCGACCCTTCATGGCGAAAATGAAAAATGGGAGTGGAAGAATGAGAAGAGGGAGGTGAGGCATAACCTGCCTTTGTCGCATTGGGCGTGGATAGTGCAGGCGGCACTATTGTCTTGCTCAATAACGCTGTTTGTGGTTTCTATGTGTAGAACACAGTCAGTGGGAAAGACGGATCAGATACCGACGACATTCTGTACGTGCTCGGCATCGATGGGAGACAGGCGCACAAGGGAAATAAGGCTAACACCACGCTTAGCACCTGTGAACGAAGCAGTCAAATACGAAATAAAACACTTCGACCTACCTCCCGTTCCCGAGGGCCCCTTCGTCGGAGAAGGTGACAGAGTAGACGCAATGTGGGAGTGGGCAACAGACAACAGTATGCAACACTGCCCTACTTCCTTCTCACCATCGCGCTAACTCACTCAGTCTCCGATACCATGGTCACCCGTGACGAGATGATCAAGATGAACATGGACCCCGTTGGCGCTCTCGAGATCACCGACCCTAAGACCGGCCGCCGCGGTTTCCGCGTCGCAATCGAAGTCTTCCACCAGCTGCACTGCCTGAACCTCCTACGACAAGCGAATCACAAATCGCACTACGCACCCTTGGGCGGTGACACGTCTGCAGAGCCCGAAGATTTGCATGGCCATCTCGATCACTGCATTGATGCTCTGAGACAGTTTGTCATGTGTCAGTCAGATACAAACGTGTTTCCGTTCAGGTTCCCGTTCAATGACGGAGACCCATGGCCGGACTACTCAAGCCCCAGGATGTGTAGGAACTTTGAGAAGGTCAGAGAATGGGCGGTCGAGCATGGAGTAGAGAGAGGTGTCGGCGAGCCAGAACATTAAGGCACGAATAGGAGCAGAAGAAGCTTGGCAAGCAGTCATCCCTTGAGACAATAAGGCGCGATATGTATATAGCCTTCGGGTGGTAAAGGTCTTCGAATTTTCCACTCCTCAAAACCTCATTTCTACGTCAATATATCAAAATCGAAGCACATTTCGGAGTATAATTCCATCCAGAGTCTAGATTCGCATTGATCCCTTCATCCCACCTCTAAATGGATGCCTAGTTGTTTATACCCAGAAGACTGTCACCTCTAAACCCCGTTTTCTCTGATGATTACCACCTATGCATTCCGATCCGAAAGAATATCGCTTTGAAGGACATGATGGTAGATAATGATAAAAAGATGAAATGGGACGTTGATGAGTTGAAAGGGTGGGCACGTGGGGTAATGGAAGAGGGTCGAGGGACCAAACTAGACGGGTCGGGAACGCGTCCCATCGCGAAGCAGCAAGGGACTTATCACGCGAAACTTAAAACTACGCTTTTGCATAGCCAGATTGTTGTTTCTACAAGGGTAGAAATAAGACAAGGTGAGGTAAAAGGTGGTCTGAAGTTTTCTGTCCCCAGCCAGGCCTCAGACTCTGATTGCATATCCGCTGGTAACCCCGCCCCGCACCTGCTTCGTCCCCACTTTGCCCCTCCACCGTCACTTCCCTACGCGACTGCCTTCACAAGGACTGCTAAAAACACGAAAAACTTCAGGCTTTGCGACAAAACGTGGAATATAGGTTCTTTTGCGGCCCAAATTTGCATCGTTTGGTAAGTTAATTGCCAATTGGCTTCGTTGGTGTAGTCGGTTATCACGTCGGTCTCATAGTAAGCTATGACTGCTAGTTTCTAGTAGATATCCGAAGGCCGCCAGTTCGAATCTGGCACGGAGCATGAGTTTTCTTTTTGCCTTTTTTTTTCTCTTCGTTGGTAGATGGATGTAGACCTGAAGGGGGAGCGTCCATCGCGCTGAGTTGTTGCCTGTATTCATTCAATAGGGTCTCAACACCTTTTTTTTAATACTTTGAAGAGTAGGAGGGACGCAATTAAAGATACATGAATTACTAGCCTCTCTATCTAAGTTCTTACGTCTATTAATTTGCTGCGTTGATATCGTGAACGATGTCATTTACCTAGGCGAGCACTCAAGTGGCATCTTTGCCTTTGCCTTCGCCTTCTATCAATCTGTCTGTGGTTTATACGCTGCGCCTGGCGATAGTTGCAGAGACCTCATACGAAGCGCTGATTGCAAGATCCTCTAAGCTTCCACATAGACCCCTACTAACAGCCATGCACTGGCTTGGGGGTGAATCGCGATGTACCATTAAGCAACCGACATGCGAATCGTATTATAGTTAAGGCAGGGGAAGCTATACGACTATTGAACTGTATACCAATACACGACATAAGGAGTGGTGCTGCTCGTGAGATCACTAAGCTACCATCAGCGATGCTAGGACGTAACAATGCTACGATGATCCTCCGACAGCATAAGAATACAACGAACGAGGGGATCACCGATAAATACGTCGGTAATTTGACAGACCAAACGTTCCAGTAAAACCCAACCTCGACCAGAGCCGCGACCACGCTTTCAATCTTCATTGTGCGAATGTGGCATTTGAAAAAATTCAAGGGCAATGAAAAGTAAGAGATAGAGAACAATAGACAAATGTAAAGAAATATATTGGAATACGGAAGATCACATCAATTGCCGAAGGGCAAGGATTCTAATCAAGAAGGAGGAACGCGAAGCCTAGAAGAAGGCCAACGACCCATCTTGTTGTCTACTAAAAGTAGCAAACGGGACCGCGTTTGTTGACATCAACTCCACGGTCCGTCACAACACTTGCTTTCCCGGCCACAATCTCAACACCAACTTCCACCTTCCGCGTCTTCTCCAAGCACATACCAAACCACAGCATGACTACCCCGAAAGAAGAGCCTAAAAAGGCACAAGCTCCGACTACGATTCCGAACGCCTACCTCCTAGACAATCCCTCGCTCTACCTTGCCCTCCGTGAAGACATCCTTTGTATGCGCCGCAGCCTCGATATCCACCCAAGCTCTCCGCTGACACCTACACAGCGAACGCGCGCTTCCTCTGGGGTGCGTCCTTGACCTACGACATCCTCACCTCGTTCGAGAACAAGACCAACGAATCCGACAATATCTACGAAGGCAATCGCGAGGCCGACGCTTTTGAGGTCACGCTAGTGGCATATCGCAAGCTGGAGGATGGCGAGGTAGAAGGCAAGGTACTTCTTGAAGGCCAGAGCGGCGGGCAGTTGTACGCAATGCATATGTTGGCGATGGGAATGCAGTCGATGGTCAAGAAGGCAAAGAGTGTGTAGGCGCTGCGCTAGATAGCTTGAATGTGGAACTGACCTCAAGGTAGCTTCGAAATGGCTCGCGCTTGGCGATACGTTCTCGGGTGTCAACTACGAGGGTTGAGCGTGTATGTATTCTGGAGATGCGGATACCCAACTGAAGAGGTCATGGGAACCGCACGGGGTGTTTGAATGGTGGGAGCTGCTGGACTTTTCGGCCTGCCTGAGCGTCGAGGTGACTTTCGAATTCGACATCTCAGTCGGCATACTACGCTCCTCTTACGCATCCCCATAGCCGGTACTAGTCAACTCCGTTTGTCACCAGGATATGCAAGCTAGATTACCGCTTAGATTGAGCGTAATTGCAAGAATTTCAGCATCACATTGCCTCTCACTGCCCCGACACTTCCGCTTGCTAGTCCACATAGTAGGTCTCGCCTGACAAGTTTAAGTCCCTAGTGCCATCAAGGTTGCTGGAATCGCCGTATAAGATCCCGGTATCTCCTTTCTCTGCCGTTTGTAAAAGTCTCAGTAACAGGACTTGCGGTAAGTTCGAGACCAATCTGCAAAGAAGCCGGCAGCAAACGTGGGAGCAGATCTATGTCTCTCACCTCGTCGGTGCCCCCGAGGCTCAACCACCGCAAAGACGTCAAACGATGAATGCGCCTATATATCCCGCCAATTGGCCTCCTATAAATATTTCCGCCGCTTATCTTCCGTTACTACTTTCTCTCCACCCCACACCGAGTTTTCAGAATACTATATATTAATATTAAGATCGTCTCATCTGCCTACCAACATGCCCGTAAACACTCTGGAGCTCATGCAGCCTATGATCACTGAGGGTGGCAACACTGTCCAGCCCTCCAGTTTCTGCAACGACGACCATAAGGTATAGATGTATGATCATAAAGTCAGGGTCTTGCTAAACTTTCTCAGCTCGCTCAAATCGAGGCCCTCAAGAACCGCGCCCTCGGCTCCGCTAGGATCCTGTACGGCAGCGAGCAGCGAAAGTTTTTTGGTATAATCCCCCCCCCCCCCCCCCTTCAACCATAGTACCACGCTAATACGGTCTCAGACATAATCATCGGCTCCCATGACGACGGGAAACACACAGCCATGCTCGTCTGCTCGTTAGATGGCTGGTCGAAGCTCCTCCGGAAGGAGGTAGACGTGTGCCCCGTCGCTGCCACCCGCGCCATGGTCAACGGGCTGACAAAAGATGTCGGCACACTTTTCAGTATGTTTTCACTTTCCAGATAGCTTCTCTTTCACTACATTCTGACACTTCATAGCCAAGTTTGACGTGGGCGACCAGATCTCTGGCCAGCAAGGCTTCAGCGGCTTGGATGGCAAGTTCGCCCTCGACGAGCACAAGATAGCTATTCGCGACGGCCCCCGCCTCGATGATACGCGCACACTTCGAGGCCAATACGCGCATACCCCGATTGGACCTAGTGGTAGAGGATCCAAGCGACCCCGGGCAGAGCATTTGGATCGGGTGGATCGTGGCGGTCGGTACGAGAGAAGTGGAACGGACCGTGAGAGGGGTGATGCCGGCAAGAAGGTTGTGCTGGACTATGGCGAGGCTGAGCCATCTGGCATGGATATCGATTGGAAAACGAGTTTTAGAGGTGACAATCTTCTGGGTGTAAACAATTAGACATCTATGCAGAGGTGGGATGAAGCGATCAATGCGAATGTCTAGACTCTGAAACCTATATGTTGCTCGAAACCAAGCACTGAAGTCAAAAGAATGTCGGTGCAGCCGATCTGCATCATGACAGCTCCAGCTTATCCCGCCACGACCGATAAGTCGCCAGCCCATCCGAAACCAACCCGCTACGGATCAATGCTGCCGATAACGACTCCAAGGAGATGGCCGAACTCTTATCAGTTCCGATGCACGACAATAAATAAGTATAGAGGTGCCATGCGAAATTATTCGATGGAAAGCGAATTCAAACATTTTTCAACTCGGCATTCACGATAACTTTAGTCTTCAGGTGAGAGAGCTAAGTGTATATTGACAGACTGTCCCAGCACCAGAACCATGTCCGTGGTGTTCCTCAGCACAGGGCCGCCGACAGGTACATCGTCCCTTTCCCATGCCCGACATCGCTCTGATTGAGAAATAGTCAATGTCGAGCACCTCGACGCTCTAGCAGAATCGTACGGCGTATCCATTGACGCGAGAGAGAAGGAGCACTACCTCCACCTCCTCAACGGTCTCGACGCCACATCCAACGCAATCACATCCCTTCCCGCATACACAGACCCGCGTCTCCTCCCAGCCGCTTCAACACTCCCCCGCACATACGAGAAACTTAGCGGCAAACCAGACAAGAATCCGCTCAACACATGGAGCCATCGCACCAGCATCACCGCCTCCAACCCCTCCGATGTGCGCCTTTCCAGAAAAACAGTGGTGTTCAAAGATAATGTCTCCATCGCCGGGGTCCCGTTGACAGGCGGCACGTTCCCCGAACTCTTGGTCGGGAAACCCGATTATCCGGTCCCAGGAATCGACGCTGTGGTCGTGAAAAGAGTGCTTGAGAGCGGCGGTGTAGTCAAAGGCTCAGCGAACTGTGAACACTTCTCCATGTCGCCGCTCTCATTCACTTCAGCCAGCGGGCCCGTGCATAATGCCTGGCTCAAGGGGTACACGACAGGCGGCTCATCGAGTGGGTGCGCGGCCATGGTCGCAGCGTCGCAGGTGCGAGCTTGGCGGAAACGACACGGTCTCTCTTCCCCTTCCCCTTCCAACAATGACGAGGAAGAGCTGGGCGAGAGTGTTGATATGGCGGTCGGAGGGGATCAAGGCGGCTCGATTCGCATCCCGGCTGCATATGCGGGCATCTATGGGTTGAAAGCTACGCATGGACTCGTGCCATATACGGGCATCATTAGTCTGGTTCCTATGATTGATCATACAGGGCCGATGACGATGACGTTGGAGGATAATGCGATGATGTTGGGTGTATTGGCGGGTTGGGATGGGATGGATCCGAGGTGTACACCGGAAACTCCACTCCGTCAGAATGTGAGTGTTGCGTCTAAGTGCACGGTGCGCTACGGGGGTAGTCGAGCGTGGCCTGAGCGAAATGTGTAAAAGACATGAGGGAAAATTCGAATAAGCTTTGCTGACTGTCCTTAACCAGGTACCCGATTATCTCGGCTTATTGGAAGCATGGAGGGCAGAGAAAGATTTGAAGGGCGACTGGACGCCACAAATGGCCGGGAAAGGTCTACGCATCGGTGTCATCAAGGAAGGCCTGGAAGTTGTAGGCTTAACATCCGAAGTCAAGTCGGTGATCACTGCAGCCGCAGAACAGTTCAAAGCGGTTGGTGCAAACGTAGAAGAAGTTTCCATCCCGATGCACATCATCGGACCCGCCATCTGGACTGTAGCCACACGGCCATACATGGTGGAGCATGGCTTACAGAACAGAGTGACCCCGTATCTCCAGTATGCGATGCCGGGTACGTATTCCTGTATGCAAATCGAGTATACCGTTCGACAACGCTGCATAATTGCCTTTCACGCCCCTTGCAAAGCGTATT